AAAAAAAAAAAAAAGAAAAAAAACTCTGTCACTTTCTCACTTAAAATTTCCACGATGATACGACGATGCTTTTTAAAGAGACTTTGCTTATTAATATTCATGAATTCGCGCGCGCGCAGTAATTTAATCACTAACCAACTGTCAGAAAATAAAATCTCCTCCGTGTCAAGTTGCATTTTCAAATTATTCGCGAATCATCAAGAATGAATCATCATTGTAAGGCGTTACGAGAAAGATTTCAATTTCTTTTTTTATACAGCGATTTACGCGCTCGGTGATCGAGGACGGGAGTTTCACAGCACGCGAATCAGACGAGGGGATTCTCGTCTAATTCTCTCGTTCAGCGTTTCTCAGTAGCGCGAGTTTCCTTTTCAGAGCCACGCGCGTACGAGGCCCCGAATCCTCGTCGTTTTTCCAGCGACTGCTCGCGCGTTATTGTCGTTGAACATTACGCGCGTGATCTTGTTTCTCGCTCGAGACGAGTTCGCACGCACGTCGATTGAAGCGTTCGTTTCGCTAATTAATTTCGGTAATTGCCAGTTCGAGAGAAGCCGGTTCCTTTCGTTCCGGCGAACGCCATTTTGTCGAATCGACTAACGTCTACGATTTTCAGAAGTCAAGAATGCTTCTTTCTTTCTTTCTTTAAATTGAACACCTGTTCGCCATTCTGTTAATTCTACCATTGGAATTTCTATATCATCTTGCTTTCAATTCAAGTAGCGAAGAAGCTTCTAACATTGACGAGAAAAAAAGGAAACTCTTGACTCTTCAAATTTTTGAAAAATTATTTGAAATCGACAGAAAACGTTGGAAAGTAACTTCAGGAAACAAACGAACTTCGCTCAAGTTTTGTATTAAAACTGATCCTGATGATCCTGTCGTCTCGATTACTTGGCATTTTAACGATACGTAGAGAAAATCAAATTAATTAAATCACGATGAAGTGTAATCTGGTAATTTTAATAATATATGTCGGACGAGGGGCGGTAGAGTTTAATCGACAAAAGTAGCTGTTGATTTTACACGACAGAATATCATTTAATTGAGCAATACTACGTCATTTTTCAATCACGCAAACGATGTCACATTATTATTATTATTATTATTATTATTATTATTATTGTTATTACTACATTGTTGTACAACGTTGGAAATATTCGAATGATTTTATCGTCAAAGTTAGTCGATCAGGATCGCGTGCACGTGCACGAGAAACAGCGAGAAAAGAAATCGTCGATTCAGTTGGGGAAAGTGAAGCACGTCTCGCAGTGTTGAGGACTCTGGAGAATGAAAATTCGATCAGAATATTTCCTCTTTTCTTTCGCCACCCACACGACTCTAGTACCACGTTTTTTACTATCTTTACTAATTTTTTACGATATCTTGAATAATTAATTAACACGCTGATAGAGTGTTCGTCAATGGAGTGAAAACGATAATCGAACCATCGGTGAACTATATATTATTTACGAGTATAATAATTCTCTCCAAACTTATGTATGTACATATATAGATATATACCTTTAGAAGAGAAGGAAGGGCATGCAATATTAATCACACGTGAAATAGTCGAAATAACAGATCGTATCGCGTTGCAGACGGTCGTGGATCGGCATTAACAAAAACTGATTATCAATAATTCGACGGTCCTGCAATATAGGGAAAAAATTGTTGTTACGTCGTCGAGCGACCGAGGGTGAGATTATCGATCGTAACGTTGCATCGTGATCCATCATACGGGAGCGAGTGATTAACGATCGAAGAATATTTACAGTGGCTCGCGAAGTTATTCGAACGCCTGGTACGCGATTGTGTGAAACATTTTGAAATTTCGTACACGAAGTATTTCTTGCAAACGTACTACGTTTCATAAGAAATTAGGGTGGACAATTGTCCACTTTGTGAAATGTAAACGAGTAAAAACATCGATGCTCATCGAGATAATGGATCGTTATCGTTTATCATCTGTTGTACATATATGTATTTTTAAATTTGCTTCGAACTTTCCTAATGTAACTCGCATTGCATTGCGAGATTCATACACAAATTTGTTATAATTAATACAGTTGATGAAATCTCAGAATGTCGAATCAGAGTGACGTCCGCAGGTGTTCAGATAATTTCGTGATCAATTGTAAAGGTAGAAAACAGGCGAAAACAGGATGATATATACGCGTGCACGCGCTTTTCCTTGTTACCTGTGTCGACTTTCATTTCAATGAGCACGTGGCAACTGTATAGAGAGAACTAGAGAAGTAACAGAGATCTATTATCGCATATAGAGTCGTTGATTTCGTGGGCACTCGAGTACCCTGAGACGAATCGTCTACGACTTTTTGCCCTATTGCATATCAATGATTAACCCCTTGCGGGAGATTAAGTTTATAGATTAAACATATAATAAATAAATGAATAAATAAATATATATATATATATGTATATGTATAGGAAGAAATATTGTATGTTCACGCGAGAGAGATACATGGATAAATTTCCTTTCGCTAGATCACCGATCTGCACGATATTTCTCCAAAGTATACGCCGTATTTATTTTTCTAGGAACACGCACTCGCCGTTCGAACTCTGTAATTGTCGTTAGACCGCGGATTTTCATGCGTAGGTGAGAAACTTTGAATAGGCCCGAGGATAGATAAAATATTTCCAAGTAAAGTGTCATTCAATTGGACTGCGGATTTTTGCGCGTTTACAAGAAACTTCAGAGTGAAGAGAAATATATAAAGTATTCCAACTACACGGTGCTTTCTACGATATTTAGCACGCAAAACAATCTTCCATCCAAGTTTTATCTTTTTTTTTTTTTTTTCTTTTCTTAACCACTTTGAAGTACGAAGTTGTTCCAACAGTATGAAATTTCACGATCGTTTAAAAATAATTATTAATTTTAAATCTGTGACAAATGATCAGCATCAGATCTTGCCTCTGAATGGAAGAAGAAAAAGAATCTGCACAAAAATCCGCAATCTGATCTATAGTGTTTCCACACGTGAAAAACGAACTTTTTCAAATTTCACTCTTTTTTAATTATTCCCGCAAAAATACCGTTGTTTCAAAATCCGCCGTCTAATTGTCGTGAATGTGTACATCAAACACGAGGAATCGCGAGCAATAGATGTATTACCGCATAGAAGAAAAAACGATCGACCACAAAGGGTTAATCAATTCGAATCCGAAACGTTCTCTGAAATTATGAACTATGTTTCAAGTTTCGATGCACGAACATTCCAAGAATTAAAGGGGGATCGACGTTCTCGTCGCTAGATAAATAATTCTTGCATGTGGCGATGTTCTCTTTCACGGATTTCGATGGCCACGTCACGGTGGGACGATCGCACGCGGCGTGACGAATTAGGGGAAAAACTATCGTTTAGCTTTTTCCCGGTTTGTTAACTAGGCGAGACAAACGGCTCGTTCGTTCTTTTTATCATTGGCGATCGTAACGAGAGAGAGAGGTGCTCGCGATCTTTTTTTAAAGTCGAGTCCATTTTTTTCTTTTTTTTTTTCTTTCTTGTAATTTCTT